GGAATTCCTTACCCTCAAACCTCCATGGAATATTCACCATATACGCCTTACCCTCCTTACACTCCTCCTCCTCAATATTACTCACCTCATCAAAATTATTCTCCAACACCACAAAAGTTTCCATCTTCCTATTCTTACCCTTTTCCAAATACGCAATACTCCCAATGTCATTCTCCTAATCAGTATCCTTATCCACAATATCCTCGGACAAAACCAGGCTCCATTATGGAATTTCTCATTCAAACTAAAAGTCCCGAGGAATTGGTTGATTACTTTCCTAAAAATAGCATTTGTAACTTCTGTGGAGGTGGTCACCATTCATGTCTTTGCCCCATTCCTCCATACGACCATCCTTACTGGGCAACTGCATACCCCACTTCTTCCTCCACACAATTTACGAACACAAATGTTTCAGTCACTCCTACGTCTTTGCCGAGCTATGAACCACAGGATGAAGTGGAAGAGATAATTTCAGAGAAGCTGTCTCACCTGGAAGAAACACTCAAGCAATTCATGCAAGAAATTGAGGCGAGCATGGCAATTCAACAGCAAGCAAACACAAGGAGGCAGAACATGGAGAATCAATTGGGGCAGATTATAAAGGCTTTATCTGAGGAGTCCGAGAGATCTTATCCTAGCGACACAGACACTCAACCCGAGGAGACCAATATGGATGATCACGTGAGCGAGTCAGACTATGATAGTGGGAATATGATGGATGATACACTTCCAGATATTTTTGAAGACCCACCTATGTTTGCACTTGAACAAGAAGATAGTGGTGATGACCATACAGAAACTCACCAGCCGTTTGATTTACCATTAGTCTCAACACCTGACGAGGATGGCAGGGAGCAGGTCCGTCATGACGTTGATGCAGCCACTGAGGTAGGTTTGGGAATAGATGATTACAAGCTCCAAGAGAGTGGGGGTGAGATAGATGATGTCCATAATGAAGAAGTCCCGCTCCACAAGCAAGAATTCCCTTCTTGTAAACATGCACCGGTCCACTCTTACGTGGTTTCAAATTTGGATTTCTTTGATCCATTCCTTGGTGATGATATTTCTTTGTGTGTGGAGAATAATCACAACTGCTTGGAGGATATTAATAAGAAGAGTGACGAAACGAATTGGGATGCATTCACGGGGAGTGATACAGAGTCTGGAGGAGAGGTTGTGAATTTTCATGATATCTGTGAGGAAGAAGATGACTTTTCTATGGTGCAGTTTGATTACGGTGTTGCTCCTACTCCTTGCTTTGAGACATCTTTTGAGCTTCCGGTGATACCTAGAGTAATCAAAGTTCTCACTCATGTTTCCTATCCACCTGAAGAGGATGAGAGTTTCATCCTTCACTTCTGTGCTGATGAGGGTTATGAAGACCATGTGCTGCCTACGCATATTCGAGAATTTAAGAATCTGCGCCACTTAACGGCATTTGTTGAAAGGAAGCTGGAAACGTTGATTGTTAGTGCACCACTGCAGTCTTTGCTATTTGAGAGCATATGAGGAAGTATCGTCGGGCACACGACGTTAAAAATAGCGCTTCTCGGGAGGCAACCCGAGCTTATTTCTACTTTTGCTTTTGCTTTGTTTGTTGTTTGGTTGTTTTGCTTTGTGTTTTTGTTACAGCTCAGGGTCTTGTTGTATGGGTGATGTGCCGAGGATTACATTGACTCAGTTTAGTTCTGCATCGACCAGCGCCTTAGGGAAGTTTCTGCGACTTTTTTAATCGCCTGTTTGTAATAATTGACTTGAGTTAAGTTGAGCACGTGTGACCCTTTCCTCTTTACCCCCTTGTGCATAGTGCATTTTTGGTCATCGAGGACGATGCCAAAGTTTAAGTGTGGGGGAGTGAATTGGGCATTCGGGCAGTGGTTGTTACATGAGATTTATTAGAGTTAGCATGCGCAGGTGTTAGTTGTATATTCATATAAAATTCATGTCAAAATTTTTGAAAATTTTTCTTTAAACTGTGTCTTTGTGAGCTCGCTAGCGTTTTGACTATGCTTTTAGGACATCCTTGAAGTGTTTAGGCTTAATTTGCTTGCACTATAATCTAGTTGTTGAAAGGATGAAGGCATTAGTCACCCATTGAATTAATCCATTAATCATCCACCCCACCTGAATAAGACCCTTTAGGAGAAGCCATTTTGAGTCTGCCCGTTTATTGTTACCCGATTAATTGAGCTCCATAGCCAAATGGCCTGTTTCCTTACCCGTGAATATTTCTGACTTAGTCTTGGTGTTTAGGTAACTAGGGGATTAATTTGCTAAGTTTAGGGAATTTGTGTAGGAGCCATTTTTGGCACTGTTCCTATGCCCCAAATAGGGTAAGAGCAGTCACTTTTTAGGAATATGATACTTTCGAGGATTGCATTGTAGGCATGGATTCACTTTTAAATTAATGAACTTAAATTGCTATTTTTCCTTGGTGAGGCCGAGATTAGAATGGGGTAATGTCTAGTGAGAATCCGAAAGGTGAAAAATTAATATAGCTAGACCTCTTGCCTTACGAAAAAGAGAATGGGAGCCCCAGTCAAAAAGCGTAAGATGAGACTTGGGTATCTTTCGAAAGAAACGGCGTTCTCGTGCCAACATGACAAGGAAAACTGAACCTAATTAAATGAACTTGGAGGCTATTGCAAAAATTAGCTTTAGTCCTTCTCGTACTTCAAGTATACGTCAAAGCACAAATGTGCTGAGACGGTTTAGCTTAGTTGTACACCATGTCTACTCTTTGCATAGGTTTAAATGATTGCTCCTAAATTGTGACCTACTGAGTTCCTTGTTCCTAAGAATAGCCCTGAAGTTCCTGAATACATTGAGTCTTTGTTAGAATATTCCAATCTCTCAAAAGAAAGGGACTGTTTATTACCATTCATCATTCACCATCACCTTCACAAGTCCTTCTGATCAATAGATAGTTTATTTGTGTATGCTGTCATTACTCTAAGGATGTTGTGAATACTTTGTCAAATAGTTTAGCTTGAGTACAAAGATGTAGTTTAGGGAAGAATTTTCTTGGTTTAGTCTGCCTGTTCTGTGAATATTCCTTTAACTACGTGTGCATGCTAATTGTTTTGATTCCGTGTGGTGATTATCGTAAGTCCCGTTGTTCAGTTTGCTTGAGGACAAGCAAAGGCTTAAGTGTGGGGGAATCTGATAAGTCCGTATTTAGACACGTATTTGATGCGTGTTGGGATTGGATTTTGATGGTTTTCCTAGATTTAAGTTGTTGCAAGTCTTAATTTTAGCTCAAGTTATGTTTAACATGCGTTGGTTCAAGTTTTGTTGCATTTGGAGTCAAAATGAGGAATTTAGAGTTGAACATCGGCACTTGAGGAGCAATCGGGATGATTCGAGATGCATTCGAGAGTGGATTGAGAGCTTTGGAGGTCACCGGGAGGTTCACGATGAAGATTTGATGACAAAATAGCTCTAGGATTGGCTATGGAATCAAAAGAAGATGAATGAAGCTGGAAAACAACGATCAGGATGACCTTTGGTCGATCGTTCAAGCATATCTCTTTGTAGAAGCATCCAAAGGACACGATTCAAGTTGCATATGAAAGCCAACTTCAAGGGCTACAAATCATATGAAGACACCTTTTCGAGAATCTGAGAGGAAGAAGGTGAAAACAGACGATGAAGTCAGATGATCTCTGTTGTGATTTCAGAAAGACATCTTCCACCGTTTTGATCATATCTCTTGATTGGATGATTCAAATCACATTCGGCAAATTGGGATGGATAGAGGACTTCATTATCTACAACTTTCATGAAGGAAGTTTTGTCAAATTCGGAATAGAAAAAAGGCTGAAGAGCACGGACGCACGATCGTGCGTAAGAGCGAAAACGACCATGAAGCTACTGCCATGTACGCACGATCGTGCGTACCAGGCCACGCACGATCGTGCGTACACCCGAGACGCGAATTTGAGCCCTTTTTTAGTCCCAGTTCAGCCCAAACTCATCTGTTTTCTATAAATAAGACCCCCATACCCATATTTTGACGTTACGAACATTACGGAGAGGCCTAGGGACGAATTTAACACCGTTTTTACGCTATTTTCTTCCAAGACCCTGAGATTATTTGTAAGTTCAATTCTTTAATTAATGACAATTTATTCTATTCATCCCAATTCTTTTGATTCGTCAATTATGAGGCGTGAGTAGTTTAATTAGGGATTTGGGGTTGATGAAGGGGTTAATCATGATGAAGGGCTAGATTCTTGTCGGTTTAATTGCATGAATGCCGTTTAATTTGTGTTTGAATAATTTAACTGATATCTCTTGTAACCTAGACTGCAGCTAGAATTACAATTGCATGTAGAATGAATTAAGAGAGATCTAATTTGTTCTAGGACACATTCACACACACTTAATCGTTCGCTAAGAGATTAGTAGCGATTAAGGGGCCGTAAGCTCGCTCGTTTTGGCAATAATTTAGGATCTTGTCGCATGAGAGATCAGCCTGGACCCCTAAATTATTGTACTCTACGCCGCGAGAGCGGTAAGAACTTAGTAATGATTAGCTAGGTTCAATTAAATTAAATTCATGTGATTAGGCCTGATCTGCCAGAAATCTGGTTAACCCCGGAATCAATTCCTGTTCCCTTCGTCGTTAATTAAGGAAAACCAAATCTTTTTTTTTATTCGCTCATTAGCATTAGTTTTAGTTTAATCAATCAACCAATCTCGCACAATTGCATTTTTTATTTTATTTATTTCTTTTTAATCGCTAAAGTTTAGTTAATCTTTATTTCCCTTTTGTCCGTCCCTGTGGAGACGATACTCGTACTTACACCACTATTCTACAATCTTTTCAAGTGCGAGAAAACTCACATCAGCGAAGGACAAGAAAACCAAAAGGCCTCGGGGGACTGGCTCTTCGGCCCCCGAAGGGCAAGAGTTGATCCTTCCCTCCCTTGGACATCTGGCGCATGACGTTTGGCAGGAGATTGCTTCCCTGGCCGGCGTGGAGATGCCTCCCCGGACGTCTTCGGAGGCTTCCAATGCGGCTCTGGCCGCCGCTCTTCAGGTGAGACTTCGCCCCCTGCCGGGTGCTTGATTACCTCATTCTAGTGTCTTGAAGTCTCACCTTCTGTGTTTGATTTGTATTGTAGGTCGGGCTCTCCGTTCTGCAATCCGAAGCTGCCCGAGATGCCGAGGTCCTTCAGGCAAAGAATAAGGTGGACGCGGCCTTAAACAAGGCGAGAGAGGCCGCTCGTCTCCAGGAGAAGGAGATGGCGGCCAAGGATAAAGAACTGCAGGCTGCCATGAAGGTAGCTCGCGAGTCCTCCGCGAAGATCGCGGTTCTGGAGAAGGTCGGGTTCAAGCTCGTCCCGGCTCTCCCCGCTTCCAAGGATGAGGCCCCTGAGTGGCTCGTCGATGATTCCGGGTACCACAACTCTGGGGCCTTCATGATCGCCGCCCAGAGGTACCGTGGGGGCGCCTTTGGCGATGTATTCGCCGCCGAGCTGCAGAAGCGTGCGCCGAAGGACCGGCTCAAGTTCGGGGTTCAAGTCCTGGAGAGTGCCCCCCTGGCCGAGAAGTTCTTGTACGACGTTGGAGATTCCTCCTTCGTCATTGGCTATAATGAAGGGGTGAAGGCCACGCTGCCCGTATTTGCTGCTCTTCAAGGCCCCGGATTCAACCTGGCCCAGCATACCTCAGACCCGGAGCTGATTTGAGTGGTGGGCAAGCTGGAGCGGGACGCCCGGCGGGAAGAGGCCAAGGCCAGAGGTGAGGTCCCGGAGCCCCCGACCCCCGAGCCCGAGCCCGAGCCCGAAGAGGAAGAAGAACCCATCCATGGGGGGTCCCGGCCTGTTTCCCCGAACTTTGTCTGATGTAAATTGTAAACCTCTTTGTTCTGATTCTGTAATATCCGGCCAGTAGAGCCGAGGAATACACAACTCTTTTTGCCCATCATTGTCTCTACGTTCATGAACTCTTCTTGCTTCCTTTCATTGTTAGTAGTATTTCTATTTTCTTTGGATTTTGCTTAAGTTCGCGAGGACGTTCATGTCCATACTTCATTTTTGCACTCCGTTCTTGCGAGAAACGAACGTATCACCTGGGGTTCGTCCCGTACGTGTAAGCCCACCACCCGCGCCGTACGTATTCAAACCTACGTACGGGGACGCGAACGTACTCCTAAGGATCAATGTTGGTAGAGACGTCCGTCACGTGGGTACGGGCATATTTATCCATGCTGTGCGTGCCCAATTAAACTTCGTGGGGCGATGTCCGTCTGCATAACTGGATGCGGGAATACAGACGCATTCCTCAGAGACAATGCCTTGGTAGAGACGTTCGTCGCATTAGGAGTAGCATAACCTTTCATGCCGTGTGCTCAACCCAGATTTCGTTCATGGACGTTCATCATGCCGCGATATTTGCGGTGTCACGAAGCATGGAAATATGAACGCATTCCGTGGATGCGGTCTCTGTGCGCCTCTATGGAGGACGTTCATGGAACCAAACCGGGTTCCTTTGCGGTGATTGTGGGGTGGTAATATCGAGGTGCCTTTAATACCGTGGTAGGTACCGGTATCCAGGCGCCACGTGTTCCGTCACGATTGGCGCGATCCCGCGGTGCTGTCTATAAGTACCCAAAATCTCGCGAATTCCCCATTCGCTTCATCTCTAGTCTTTGTGCTGTGCAACTATTTTCTATCTCTAGCTTTTCTCGGCATTGCCTCAGGCCCCAACACTCGTAGGTACCGAACGTCGTCATGTCTTTGTCTGGGTTGGAACCCCAAACTATTGACTCAAGGACCCGAAACAGCTCGTCGTCCACCGGAGATAGGTTTGACAATGGGTGCTCCTCCGGTGATGATCTAGAGTTCTATGAATGGGGTATGCCACCTTGGCCCCCCCGACATCACCTGAATTTTTCCGGCGTTCGTCGTCAGCGCCAGCGTCTTTTGAACGCGGACCGTCGGTTGATAAGCCAATGGTTCCTTCCCCCAAGGGTTTACGACGACCGTCGTCTGCGCAACCCAATGCGCCATCTGCCCGGCTATGTGGTGGTCCATTTAGACTCCGTTATAGCTGGCCTTCTTTTCCCCCTTCATAGCTTCCATATATCACTTTTTAGGAGCCTCAAAGTGACGCCTGCTCAGTTTGTCCCCGCTGCTTACAGAGTCATCGCGGGTTTTATAATTAGATGTCACAGTGTTGACGTGACCCCCACCGTAGATTTGTTGCATCATTTCTTCCGGTTGTCCGCCTTTGGACGAACGGGGTATTTAACCCTGATTGCACATTCGTCCATGGTCCTATTCTCGAACAACGCCGGGAATCCGGACGGCTGGGAGGAGCGGTTCTTCCTCGCCGAAGTAGGCTCCCCGATGCCATTCTCCGATCGGTGGAACGCCTATCCGGTGAAGTCCATTCCGCCACCTATGACGGAGGAGGAGCTTGGCTATGCCAAGCGCATAGCCGGACTTGGCGTCCAGAATCTCCGGTCGCTGGTGGCCGAGCCTTTCAAAGCTTGGGCCGGACTAGGTGCATCTGTTTGTACTTGCATTGTTCTATCATCCTTTCGTTGTTATGGTTCTGAATGTCTTGGTTCCCCTTCTGCAGGAGTTTTTTCGTCTACATCATCTATGGGACGTACCAACGTTGCTTCGTATGCCCCTGGCCGCGAAAACAAGGATCAGGATAAGGGCAGAAAGCCGCTCGTCCCCAAGATCGAGCCTCGGGCGAGCAAGAGGCGGCCAGATGACGCGTCGGAGGCCAGGGCTTCAAAGAGGCCGCGCGTGGATGGTACTGCCTCCAAGGCCATTATAGTGGCTGATGACTCCGATGGTGAGCCTGGGAGTCCCCTGAAGCGGAGACCCTCTTCCCGGAACAAGCCCCATGCTTCTCCTCCGCTGCATTCTGAGGTTCGTCGGCTCCGGGGTGAAGATGTTCAAACTACTAAGGGCTCTGACGATGCCCGTCCTCCTTCGCCCTCAGAAACCAACGGGTCCTCTCTTGGCCTTATCGAATTCTCCGGGGTTGGCCCTCGCAAAGAGTCGATGATGCTTTTTGGCAGACGACATCTTCCATCTGGTGTGGCCTCAACCTCAAGGTCCCCCAAGACTTCGCTGCCCATGAGGCCCCCGAGGATCTTCTGGAGTGTGGGCAGAGTACCCTAGACAAGGCCGGGCTCTACTTCCATAGGGCTCGGATGGCCTTTGAGCATCAGGGTAAGGAAATGGCTAGAGTACGGGCCGAATGTGATGCCCTTCTGAGGAACGCCAAAGGCAGGGCCGGAACGCTCCAAGAGAAGACCGATGCCTATGATAAGCTCGTCCAGGAGAACGCTTCCCAGAAGGAGCTCCTTAGGAAGCAGGAGGCTGATCTTGTGGACCTCCGCAGCCGGATGTGGGCCGTAGAGCAGGCGAAAGTGGAAATCCGCCGTACGGGTATGGATAATCATGTTCCCATCTATGAGGCCGATGTTGCTAAGATCAAGGAGTCTGGTTCCATTGAGTTCCAGAAGTCCAAAGCTTACACTGATGCTATTCATACCATGGCCATGAGGTTCCTTCCGAGGTTCGTCGGTGAGTTTTTGGCCACCTGCCCGGACCCTTATTTAGATGGCATCAAATTACTCCAGGCCACCCCCACTGGGGAGCGCTTCCTTGATGATCTCGCCGACGATACTTACCTCAAGGGTATGGTCGGCCTTGTGGCAGAGAATCTCCCGGTCTTTGAGCGTCATTTTGGAGCTCCCTTTGACCCTGCGGCAGCTGGGTATGACTCCTTGATGGTAGACGCCCATAGGGGGGCCCTCGAGCTGCTGAGAGAGCGTAAGGAGCGTGAAGAAGCTGAAGCCAGGGAGAAGGCCCAGCAGGTCTCTTTCAAGGTCCCAACTCCGGACGTTAACCAACGTTGACTCTCCGCTCATAGTCTTGTACTTTTACATTGTTTACCAATTATTTCATTGTTTACATTGTACTCTGCACATTGTAACTTTCCGGTCATAAGAACCGAAGAATAAAGATCATTCTTGCTCCATGTTCGTCTAGCATATCTTGCTTGTCTTCTTCTTCTTCTTTTTTTTTTGGAGTCTTTTCATCGGTCTTTGTTCTTCCCATGTTTCGTGATTACTGGTCTCCTGGTTTCGCAGGAGACGTTCGTCATCCCCACTCTGAGAAAAAGCAGGTTTATCCACGTCGGGATTCCCTATCTCCGTTCGTCCCCAGTCGTGAGTTACTAGTCTTCTGGCTTCGCATAAGACGTTCGTCATCCGCTCATTAGGGGGAGGAACCGGTATACCCTGTCAGGGTTCCCGTTGCTTCGTTCGTCCTTGTCGGGACCCTACTAACCTTCTTGCTTCGAAGAAGGCGTTCAGTGTTCACCGATCGCAAGGAGGTCACTGGTTTACCCTATCGCGGGTTCCCTGCTTCGTCGTCCCATGCTCGTGGCCCTACTAACCTTCTGCTCTGGCAGAAGGTGTTCGTCGATCCACGAGAAATGGGAGGAACTGGTTTATCTTGCCGAGGTTCCCTTTGTTCGTCTAGCCACCCCCGCGTTCCTACTAGTCTCCGTGTCAGGATACGTTCGTCATACGCGGCGAAGGAAGATCTGGCATACCTCGTCAAAACTCCCTCTCTCATAGGAGTCGTATCTCCCCTTCTCCTTTTTTTTTTTTTTTTTTTTTTTTTTTTGAGGAGGAAATCATTTCAATAGCACTTCGGCTTTTAATCTCTCTGTAGGAAGCGAAATACAAGAAGGAATCCTTTTATTATAGAGAGGACGATCGGTAGTGTTACATGGTGCTTCGACCAAACATGACAAAAACGATCTATCTCTAACTACTGGTAGAATTTCTTCAAGTGTTCGACATTCCAGATTCCAGCGTGGTTCCCCTCCAAGGTATGGAGGAAAAACGTCCCCTGGTTGTATCTTCTCATGACCTTGTACGGTCCTTCCCAATTCTTGGCCATCTTGCCACCTTCGAGTGGCTTGCTCTTCTCTCTCTTTCTGAGTACGAGGTCCCCAGCTTCAATTTCGTGGATCTTCACCGCCTTGTTGAAGTATCTTTGGGTGGCTCGGTGATATTCCTCCATGCGACGGGCTGCTAGGTCCCGTCGTTCCTCGATGAAATGGAGCTCCGCTCGTAGGTTGGCCTCGTTATCCTCCGGCTGGAAGTGTTTTGTGCGATGTGTAGGCACTAGCACCTCCGTTGGCACCTTGGCCTGGAATCCATATGCTAAGGCAAAAGGTGTCTCGCCGGTTGCCGTCCTTGGGGTCGTCCTACACGTCCAGAGTACGTAATTGAACTGCTCCGACCAGGTGGACGCGTAATCTTCTAATTTCTTTTTGATCCCATCCATGATGGTCCGGTTCATGTTCTCCACCTGGCCGTTGGCCTGCGGGTAGGCCACCGAGGCCTTAGAGTGC